GAGGTGATATTATTCATTCCCATTTTTTCACCACCAAAGATCAGTTATGTTTCTCTCCAATGCACACATTCAGTTTAAAGCTTTTTCAAAACACAGAAATAAGCAGCTATACCTTGATAACCGATTTCATCTTCCAATGACATGCAAACTGAAAGAATTCAGTTTGCTACCAGAAATGTAATTCCCACAAGGGTTTTCAAAGGCTGCTGAGCTTAAGTGTTTTTTCAGTGTTATTCTCCTCAGTCCACTTTACAATTTAAATTGTTCAGTGACAGTAATCTGATTGTAAGTCTGAGCTTTGGCATTTATGTTGATGAACAAAGGAAAGGAGGTGTCTGCAGAAAATACCATAAATGAAAGAATTATTAAAGGCTACATAAACAGTAATTAAGGAAGGTTTTAAGCAATATTTTCTACCTGTATTTCAGAAATGTGTTATTTTGCAGAAGTTCACTTAACAGAAGATGGATACTAAAGCATTTTTGAAGCACTCACCAGTTTGACAGCGGATCCAACTGAGTCAACAAAGAATTTAACATTTTCTCTGTCTGTGCCAAGTGCTGCTCCAGTTCTAAAAGCTGATGTTCTAGCAACCAGAAAAACAAATTGAAAAAAAAGGGAAGAGCAGGGAGAAAGAGAGAATGTTACATTAGAAGTGTTTACAGTGCCAAAACGATATTACTTTATACTTTTGGATGGACAGATTCAAAATTCAGAAAGGTTTTTTCTCTAAAATCTAGAACGTGAGAAGGAGATGGCTGGGTTAAGAACAGAAACTTTACAGTGCATGTCCTGAAATCCCTCTTATCCAGTAACCTCTCTAACAGTATCCAACACAGGCATACCTTGGTAGAATCTGAGAACTTGACTGCCACTTTCCCAGCCTGAAGAACTATGCAGTTTTAAGACTTCCCAAGTCAAAAGCAGTGCCTTCATCCTTCATACTGTCATTTATTTTTTCTTACTCTTACCTTGCAAACTACATTGAAATAGTTGCATTCAACAAGTGCTTAAGGCACTAGCATTGTGAGGAGTAACTCCTCCTAAAATACTGTGAAACTCTGAAGAAAGAAAAATACAATATATGAGGGTGGTGAGGAAGCAGCATAACAAATCACTGCCAAAAACAACTACAGATCTGTTATACAGGGACACCAAAAGAGGCTGCCAGTTGTTCACTTAACTAGAAGCATGACTATACAAGAGGCAAGAAAAGGTATGAGAACAGTACAACTTAGATGTGCCTTAACTTTTTCCTCCAAAAGAAAGTTCACTTTTTGGTGTGTCCTAAACACACTGAATCAGACAGTCAAGGGTACTTTTGCTTCATAAAATGGCATCACTTACTTTCTCTCCTATATAAACACATCATGACTTTGATCTCTAATTTGGCCCAGAAAAAGAACAATCTGTATAACTGCATAATATTGTTATATTCTCCTACAACATCCTATTAATTCTCAAAGATATTATATCCTATTTTAACACTCTAATCTAATGAAGCCATTCACCAGGCATCGAGTGACAAGAACATTGTACATTACAAGGCAGAGAACCACTACACAAGGAGAAAACTGAAACCATTATATAATGCTTCTCTCCCTCGTATTACTGTAACTGTTTTAAAGAATAATTCCATCGGGAGTTTTCAACCAAATCCAGTAAGTGTGTGAAATATACAGAATAACAAAATGCTTTTTGTCCTTCTCTAATGGTGCCAAAGTAACTGAAAAGAACTTCCTTGTTGAGCTAGAACATATTCATGGAAATCAATAGCCTTGTTTCAGCAGGAAATACACGTAGGTGGTGAATGTATGCATTCTGAGTGGAATCTTACCCGTTTCCTTTGCCTTCTCTTCTGTACTCTTTTCCTTCTCAGAGAGATTTTCTTCACGTGCCTTCATCTTTGATAAACAAAATTGTGTTAAAAGATTACATTAGTATCTTTACATTAAAAATAAAAATACAATCAGAAATTCACTGGAAGAAAACAGCAACTGTAAAATTTATGCTTAAGGAAATTTCATTTCTGCTTTACCTTCTTGCAATATTAACATAACACTTCAAAGCAATGTTAACATGACTGAGGAAAGTTATAAAAGAAGTGGCTGCTTCATCTTCAGTTTTACAAAAGTAGTAGAAGAAACCTTCTAGATTGCTATTAATTAGGAGATAAAACTACTTTCCTTAAACCAATAAAAATGTCATTAAAATATTATGTTACTATAGAAGCTTTTGTTTCAGGCCTGCAAGCACAAGTTACAGAGTCATAACATCCAAAATAGAGTTTTTATGATATTAAATCTTACTTACAACCTAATTCCTTCTAGTATTACATTTATTTTTAGACCCAAATTGTTCAACTTCTACCTTCATCTTGCTGAGTTGTATTCTTCTCATATATGATATGAAATTGATCACAGACATGAAAAGACTGCGTTCACCGTTCAGCAGTATACATATAAAAATAAGTTTGACTTATTTTTTTATTTTCTCCCCCCTAAAGGCAAGCAACAACATTCCAGATGCACACAATCTTTCAAATGCTACCCATAATACCTAACAAGTGTGACACTAAAACAACTAAGAACAAATCGATCATGCATTCTCCTTTCTTAATTCACTAATGGTACAAAAGGCATTGCATTTCATGGCTAGCAGTCTTTGTTACAGCAGCCTGATCAAATGAGAGGGGTCAGGGTGGGGAGAAGTTCTAGACTGCTCATTATTACTGCTCACTGTTCTATTCAGTTGCTAGCCTAAAGCTGTTACTTTGCAGGAATCGCCTTGTTCCCATATCCCAGCTCATTCTGAAGGATGAAAAATACTGATGAAACTGAAATTACAGCTTCAGTAACAGCACTGTTCATATTCTCAGATTCTTTTATGAGACTGGGAGAAGAAGCATAAGACTCTCATTTAAGCATCTAAAAAAGATAAGACCAATGCCTTCATTAGGAAGAATGACACATACTACTATTTTAACTACAGCATTTATGTTACAAGACAGATCTAACGTCATCAGACAACCACACACATGGGCTCAGAACTGGGGAGAAAAAAAGTTTCCTTTCAATTTCAATAATAATAATGACTTTCATATATCTTACCTTAAGGAATTTGTATGCTGCAAACACTCCCACTCCAAGAGCATACAAGGGCATGAGTGTGAATGCTAAGTCTCTGCCATTTCCTCTTGTCCTCTCACTCTTTATCTCTTTTGCCATTGCATTTCTCATCTGCTGAATACTCTGGTAAACACTACTTTCAGGATTTCCTGGATTTGGGCGACCTTGATGAACTGTCTGAGGACTACCTTCAAAGTTAAATTGAAAGAAATAAGACAAAATAAAAAAAAATGAAATCAGAGGTGCAATCAGCTTCACAACCAGAATTAATTTCTTTCCTTCTTGTGATCAGCTCCACTCTTCACTCCAGCAGATGATGCTGTCAGCTCCACATTCAAACAAAGTTACCAGTAATCAACCTTCTATAAATAGAACATAAAGTTAAATCTGAGTAGGAAAGATTCTCAAATTAAGTTTCCATGCTGCTTTAAGATACAAGTTTTGTGTTTCTCCCTTCACGCACACGTTGGCTAATGCAGGGACAAACCACAGAAAAGACAGACATACAAAGAAAACATTTCAATGCTGTATTTCTGCTTTGGTTCTTTTAAGAGTAAACACGATCTTGCATCATGTTCCTTTCTGTCAAATGAGTCCCTGTTGAGGCCACAGCAGTTTCAGGAGCAAGGCAGCAGTTGTATTAAATGTGAGGGGTATTTGTGGCCCCCCTTTTAGAAGAGGCCATCTATGTTCATCCCAGGAGGGCAAGGTCAGAGATGCTTATGGCCAGCACACAGACATTTACCCCAAAGCTGTCCCCGAGGGTCTGAGCCAAGATGTACCCTGCCAGGCAGCTCAGGCTGCCTGAAACATTACATAGGTTGTGTGGCCACAACAGCTTCCCATTTATAGCCAACAAGTACTGCCTGAATGCTAAATGCTTCCCTCCCTTGTCTGCTTCCTTTCTTCCACTGAGTTTGCTCTCAATGAGAAGACTGCAGGACTACAGGAAGCAAAGGCTGGCCTGGCAGGAGCAGGACACAGAGCAGAGTCCTCCCAGCACAGGCTCAACTCTGCACAACTTGGGCCACGGCAGCATCAGAGGTGCTGCAGATGGCAGCGCGGATATCTGCAAGCTGAACATTCTAGATGGCAAGGGGAGAAGAGTTTTCATTCCCGCAGCCAATGCAATACACTTACCTGTTCGTTTCGCTGACCGGCATCATACATTTCCAGCAACACGGTTTCACCTATACTCTGTAAATAATTTTCTAAAGACAAACAGACAGCAACCAGCAGGGCCACAAAGGAGCAGGTTTAAAGCTCACACACGCTGCTGGTGGGGCCCCGCTCGCTCACGTGTAGGCATTCCCAACACCTCCCTCACGGCCCCCTCCGTACCACGGACTCTCTTCGGGCCGCCCCGACACACACGGCTCCGAGCGGCCCCTCCAGCATCGCAGGCCCGTACCTCTGTGCTGCTGCTGTTGCCGCGGCTCGAAATGGCCGGGCCCGGCCCTGCCGCCCCGCGGAGCCCGCCCGGCCCTGCCGCCGCCTTCGCCTCCCCCGAACATCCTGGGCATAACGACGAGCAGGCAGAGCACCAAAACCACCGACACTACCGCCTGCTGCGGCACCGACAGCACCATGGCCGCCGCCGGACCGACGCCCGCCCGGCGGCCGCGCAGCAGCGGCGCGGAGGAGGAGCGGCGGCCGGGCGGGGCGGTCCTTGTGCCGGCAGCACGCCGCCCTGTCACGGCTCCCGCACGGCTCGGAGCTCTAAGCGGCCGAGACCGGAGGAGGGGGAGTGGTGCCGCGCTCGGGGGGCTGCGGGGGACTGTAGTTAGCTGTAGTTCAGCCGGCCCGCCGAACGTTCTGGAAGCGGCACTGCCGCCCGTCGCGTGCCCGAGCGGTTGCGGCAAGTGCGGCGCCATGAGGCTGTTGGTGTTGGCGGTGGTGGCGGCGGCACTGGGCGCGGTGGTCGGGCAGGTCCCCGCCTTGCCGCCCATCTCTGATAAGGCTTTCATCGGGGAGTGCGTGCGCACACACAACGCGTACCGCAGGAATGTGGAGCCCACCGCCAGCAACATGCGGTACATGGTAGGCGGCGGCCTGCGGCTGTGTGAGCGGGGTGGCGCAGTGAGATGGCCGGGGTAGAAGCAGTGCCGTGTGTGTTCAGATAACATCACGCTTATTTGATGAGAAATATCTTAGAAAGTTGGGTTGGTTATAGACAGGTGAGACAGAAACAGCTGTGCGTGCAGCTTGGTGCTATAGGATGGGCAAACAGAAGAGGTTCACGTTAGCCCCAAGGAATTTCTGGTTGGAAGAATCACAGAATCATTAAGGTTGGAAAAAACCTCTGAGATCATCCAGTCCAACCTTCAGCCCAGCACCACCGTGCGGCGGCCCTCACTGCCACATCTCCACACGTCTCAAGCACCTTCAGGGGGCAGGGTTGTACCAATTCCCTGGGCAGCCTGTGCCCATGACTCCACTCTTTCTGACAATAAATCCTTCCCAATATCCAACCTGAACCTCCCTGGTGCAACTCCTGGCCCCTATTTCTTATTGTATCATTGCTACTTGGGAGAAGAGGCTGACTGCTACCCTGCTACAACCTTTTCTCAGGGAGTTGTAGAGAGCCATGAGGTCTCCCCTGAGCTCCCTCCGGAAGATAAGCAGTCCAGCACCAGATGGCAGTTCAGTTTTCTGTCAAAAGCAAGAGTATAAACTGGACTGCTGGGGCTGGAGATCTCTGGTATCAAGGAAAAGTCTTTGTATCTGGTACTGACACAAACGGCACTGAAAACTTTGGTGAAAATGGTTAAACAAAACTGAAGAACATGCTGAAAAAAAAGAAACCTGATACCTTGGTATTTTGAAGTAGTCTTGAAAATAATCACATGCTCTTATGCTGTGGGAACAGAATGGCTTTGTGTGTATGGGTTAGAATCCAGAATGGTAGATGGAGAGCCATATAACTTTCAGGCTGAAGTACCTTGTTAAAGCGCTGTGCCTGGGTTTAGTGTTCTGGAGGAGGAAAAGCAGAGAAAAATGATGAAAAAAGGAAATACGAATTTAGACAGATAGCTAGAAAAAAGCAACAGGCCTTGGTGAGATAACAACATTGGCAGCCATGTAGAGACAGAGAGTAACCAAAATGTCTGCACAATGCTAAGCTTAGGCATTAAAACCTGGGATCTTTTCTATAAGACATAAAACTAGGTAGTTACAGATAGAAGAAGTCTGCTGGAAAGCACTCATGACTGGAACACAAATACAAAATACATTTGTTAAATAATCAGAAGTTATGTTACAGTGGTAGACTGCAGAGAAATAATAAATAGCAGAATAAATTATTTGCCAAACAAACGTGTTTTATGAAGCTGTGTTTGTAAAATGCTCTGGTGTATTTAAAGCATTAGTGCAGGATGTGTTTGTGGAGAATCAAAATGCATAAAATATTTATACATCTTAATCTACAGAAGCTGTGTATTTTTTACTCTGAATTAATGTTTATGTGATGGAAATCCTTAACAATTTGTTCAGTAAGAAAAAATCCCCCAGAAATTTCACGCTTAATTAATTACTCATTTATCTGAAGATAAAAGTGCGTTCCAAACATTTTTTTAGTTGCTAGTATGTGCTCTTACAAAGTTAATTTTCAGCAGTGAAAGGGGAAAATTCTTTTAATTTTGTAATTCTGTGCTGCCACTGGAAAAGTCAAAATAAAACACGAGTACTTGCCTTAAATAAGGAAAAGCATTTCTTTATGTAGCTCCAATACATAAAGTCTACCTGTTATTAATATATAATAATCTGTATATGTCCATTTTATTGCTTGCTTTTATCTGACTGTTGGAGACTCCTGTAACTTGACATTGCACAATTATTTCAACTTTATTGTTTTGCAGACTTGGGATGCAGCTTTGGCAAGGACTGCCAGGGCATGGGCAAATAAATGCATTTTTTATCATAACACGTATTTAAAAGTGAGATATCATGGCCATCCTCATTTTATGAGTGTTGGAGAGAATATATGGATTGGAAGTCATCAAATATTTCACGTTAAATATGCCATTAAAACGTGGCATGATGAAGTCAGAAACTACAATTACTCACTGCAGAAATGTAGTAAATTCTGCAGTCATTACACTCAGGTAAGAATCATCTTCAGTAAAATCTTCTGTGTAGTTAGTAGTATAGTGCCTAGCAGACAAATCAGGGTCTGTCACTAATACAGGATTGTGAATGTGGTTTGTAGTGACCATCAGCTTGTTGTCTTTTCTAATCTCAAGCAGTGGCAGCACTGCAAGTTACCTGGTTCACCTTCTTGTTTCATAAAATCATGTGTAATAACAATCCATTATTGCCTATAATGTTAGTGTCACTACTTATTTAATTGTATCAGCACTTTGTGAACTCTACTTAGTAATCACTCCGAGTTCTCCAGCTGTGTACACACACCATTCTGAATTCTGGAAATGTCAGGTTGGTGTTGGAAATAATCACAGTAATTGCAAAATATCTGGGAGAACTCCTTATTAGGAAAAAAAAAAACACCAAGAGAAGATGAAAATCCAACCGAAATCAATTATATCCCATAATATCAATTATATCTAGTAAGAAAAGAGAAAGATAATTCTTAATCTGGGACTCAGTTAATTAAACTTTTTTTTAATTAAACATTTAAGTCCTTTTCTAAGCAAGGTGATGTCTGCTTAACATACTGCTTAACCACTTCTTGCAGTTAAAATGGACAGGATGGAACTTTTGGGAAAGTTCAGATGGTTTTGTCAGTCTGAGGCCTGTACTGTTCATGCTGGGGAGATACTGAGAGCAATCTGGTTTGTCTTTGTTTTCCAGAAGTGGGGTATGTGATCATCCAGGTATTGTAGGTATATAGTTGAAAGTTCTTAACTAAATTCAGGACATATGCAGAGGATATAGAAGGAATCTCCCAAGAAAAAGTAGTGGATGCTCAGATTGTAAGCGATAGTAAGCCATCACTGTTCAAGTACGGCAGCTAGCAGTGGTCAGTCTGAAATTGTACAGTGCTAAAGCTTTCAGGTTAAGTTTGTTGTAGTTACCAGCCAGGCCATTTTTAGTGCACATAAGAAGCCTTTTTCTGCAGTCCTACTTAAAGAAGCTGTCAGGTAGTTGCCACTGATTGCTCTTCTGTTCCTTGGAACCTGCCCAGCGACCATAAAGCCAGTGATGTTTACTAAAGTTGTCCTGTAGAAGATTCTGGAAACTTGCAGGATAGCTCTCTTACTCCTGAGGTGTATTGGGATGTGCATCTTAGAATGCTTTCTTACCAGCAGTTCTTTCATGAATAAACATTAAGAGTAGATCAGTTACTGCAAAATGGAACTCATATGTAGAGTCTCTTAAAATAGCCTGCTATTTGCTGGATATTAGACTAGGTTGCTGTGTGTGTCATTTTAATTTATTTTTGAACATTTTTTAGATCGTTTGGGATGATACATATAAACTAGGCTGTGCTGTTGCTTTCTGTAAAGAAGTTGGAGGAATAAGAAACGCAGCAAATTTTGTTTGCAACTATGCACCACCGTAAGTTGTTCTTCTAACTATGAAGAAAGAGAAATCAATTGTAATGATAGTTCACTAAAAGTAAACTGAGATCTTCGTTTGTTGGTAGCCTTGCAAAAGCTAAACCTAGAGAGAATAGTAGTTGTCTAATTCATTTACTAACTATAACCATTACAACATGTACTTGTTTTTTTTAAATCTACCAACTTTACTGATAAGGTCATTCTGTGGCAATCTTAAGCAAATCCCACTCTGGTTTATGATCCTCTTCATTTCTTTCTTTTTCATATGAGCCAGAACAAATGGGAAACTTGGCAGCTTTTTTTCTTCTAGCAAACTTGGGCCATTGTCATGGAGTTCAGTCAGTTTGAATGAAATATTTCCTTTAAGTTCTGCCTTTATCTCTTCTTAGCTGTACTTCTAATTGCATTATTATTTTGAAACTTACTGGGATATGGAGTTTTGCTGCTGTTTTCTTTTTAAAATCTGATGTAAAAAAATTTCCAATTGCTGATTCAGAATAATGACTAATTGACATCAACAGTGGTGTGTAAAGATTGATTAATTTGATCTTTTCTAATCTGTAACAATTTATCATGCTGATATCTTGTGCCGTCCTACAGATTCTTGACAACTGATAGCTCAGCTGCATAGTGGTCCAGGTTGGAAGGATCTTCCATTTCCAAGCACTGTGCCACGGGCAGGGCTGCCCAGTGCCCCATGCAACCTGGTCTTGAATGCCTCCAGGAATGGGGCATCTACAGCTCTCTGCGTAGTTGTGCCAGCACCTCACCACCCTCTGTGTGAAGAATTTGCCTTTTATCTAATCTAAGCCTGCTTTTTTTTAAGTTTAAAATTACTACTTCTTGTCCTGTCACTTCAATCCAACAAAGAGATGAGGTCTAACTGTATGATACTAAGAACCCCGATCTCTAATTCACCACAGGAAATAAGTGGAGCTAGAACAGTAAGACCATTTTCTCAGAGCATCCTGAGGACTCAATTAGCCTGACAGATAGCAGTTTCTTCTCAGAATTGAGGATGCACCAATTAAAAGATCACCTTGCTAAAATTACCTTATTCAGCATAGCAGTTGTGCAGTGTAGCCATTTTATAGATGCTTTTCAAAGGAAATGAGACAGCATGCTGTGGTACCATCCTTGTCTGAGATTCCCATTACCTCCCGTCAGCATTCCAAAGTTGGCTGCCCCATCTTGCTACAAGTGTGAGATGGTTTCACCCCAATGGCCAACTGAACTCTACCATGCTGCTCTTTCACTCCCCCTTGAGAAGGGGACTTTTTTTCCTCTTCAAAAGTTAATCTGTGCTTTTTTTTCCCCATTCATTATTTCTTCTCAGTGGGGTACCACTCCACAACTTAGACGTTATTCAATGTTTAGATTTATTTCTGTGTAATGAGAAGGCAAGGCATCTCAGGAAACAGACAGTGCCTGCCATCTCTCTGGATATGTAGCTCAGAGTCTGTTTTCTCAAAGAGGATTTTACAGAGGATTTTAAACTCTATAGTAACAGTACAATTATTGTTTGCAGTTGAAGCCTTTGATAACAAGAAAGACCTCCTGAACTGCAGCTCAGGCAATCTCTGTGGTTTGTATTGCATTCTTGCAATTGAACCATGCACAATCACCTGCTGGCCCTCCTTTCACACTGTTATCTGATATTATGCTTTGGCCAGAGCTTCTAGAAGCTTTGCTTTGTCCTTCTATCTTTCCATTCTGGAGGCTGAGACCCTTTTCAGGTAAGCCTTGTGTTTGAAATCACTCATGCTGTGAGTGTATATATGGATGTTAACATAAAAGTTCTGCCACTTAACCTGCAACTTTTGTATATGTATGTGTTTATTTATACGTACACAGAACTCTCTCCTGCTTTTCTATAGCAGGTTTCTATAGCAGGTCTTTGACTCTGAGTAACAGACGAGTTACGAGGGTGGGCACTCTGCTTCCATTTTCTTCCTGTCTGAGCTTCAGGGCAGTGCATGTGGTGGAAATGGGCTACGTTAGCTTCTGGGGTAACAGTCAAGCCAACCAACAGCGTGTGTGAATGTGTATAAAGGCATGTCAAAGAAAAGTTGCAGTTAAATTGCAGGTAATGTCTTGGAGGGGTTCTCTGTGCACCTTCTTCAGCAATGTTTTACCAGCTCATACATCTTTATGTCTGGTGGGTAACTTCTTCTTATAAATATAGATAGTGAAGAGTGTGCGTAGAAACTTGTAATCCTGAAAAAACTATCATAGGTCTTGATGCAAGTGATCTCCTTTGAAGAAAATTATTCAAGTGTCTGCTATTGAGGTGAAAAGTAGCCCACAGTCCTTGAGGGGAGCTAAATCTGTCTGTTTGTTCCCAGGGTTAGGCTGTGAGCATAGCATTGCTGCTGCTTTTTGAGCAGACCATACAGCATAGCCAGGATACTGTGCAGCTGATTACCTGGCGGCCAGAATGATGCTGTCTGTGCTGTCAGATCTACCAGTTACATGTATGAGTGGATTTTATAAGTGTGCCACTAATGAGTCCTGCAGGCTGACCCTTATGCTTAACAGTCAGGCTCCACTTATATGAGGTACTTAAGCATGTAATAATCCACCTGTATTCATTAAGACTGCATTCTTACTGTTAGACATTTTCAAGTATTTTGCTGAACAAAGGTTATGTTTTTCAACAGTGAGTAGCCCACAGAATATCCTGTTACATACGTTGTTTTTATTTTTATACTAAATGATTTGTTATAAGCTATTCAGGAGTGTGTCAGCTTTAAAATTTTCCACTCTAAAACTCTTCTCAATTTATCTCAGTTAAAACAAAATTCTACCTAGAACATTCTCATTTATCCACCAGTGTAAAATTTGAATAAAAAGCCATAGTACCTTCCTGTAAAAAAAAAAAATAATAAAAATAAAAAAAGGAATAACTTCTTAGAAGTCTCTTCTTTCTCGTGCAGAGAACAAAGAAAATGAAAAGAGAGATTTCAAAATGACTCCAAGGTTTTTAGTAGTGAGCAACTCATTGTATTTCGGTGTATTTACTTCAACCAGTGACTTTTTAAAAATTATGCATGACCTACCTGTCTCATAGAAACTTCTTCCCTTGTAGTGGTAATTTTCGAAGAAGACCATATAAAGAAGGAGCACCATGCAGTCAATGTGCCAGGAGGGACTTCTGTGATAGGAAACTCTGTAGTAAGTGAAAGACAATGCAAAATGTAATACATAAAAGGAAAAAACACGACCAAGTGCTTGATAAAAACAGCTGCAAAATGTGGTTTACTCCTTTTTGATGCTCTCTCAGGTCCAGTTTGCAATTGTATTATTTAGTATTAGGTATTATTGTATTATGCAATTATAAACTATCCGTAAGGCTATCTATATTCTGGAAACAAAGGTGTTCATGTTGCTGAATCAGTGTCCTAGTGATACTTATGAAGTCTCAATTTGATTTGCTAATTTGTGATTGCAGTTTTAAATGTATTATGGTTTCTGTTGTACTCTGTAAAGGTTCAGAGTATTTGGTATGACATCATTAGCTAGATAAAGAAATCAGCATCTCTCTGTGTACTTCTAAAGGTTCTTACTTCGGTGTCTCTCTTCAGAAGGTCCCAAACATACACTTTCTACCTACTGGAAAGCCAAAAGCTGGAAGATTCATGTGGCTAAAGTTAGGGCATAAGTTTTTAAGTTTCATTCAATAACTAGAAGTTACACTCGTGGTTTAACAATTAGTTGTCTTAATATATGTTATATAGCTTTAATGTTATGGGTCGTAATTTCTAAGTAGGAGACACCTCTGAAAAACAGATAGGACTACCAGGGTATATTTACCCCAATATTTAGGCCCAATTTAGGAAACAGTCTGTCTCCCATTCTCAGCCGTAAGGCTGTACTTGATAGCATGTACTAACTTCATGTGTATGTTGTGAATATCAAACAGTATTTATTATTTTGAGAAGCACAAAGGGTTCAATCTGAAAATGGTCATATAAGGCTTCAATTCCTTTTCATGTGGGTCTTTTTTCTCATCAGTGTAACTGTTAGAAGCAAGAATATCTTTATGGAGGCATTATAAAGTATTGCAGTTTGATTTTTACCAAAGCCATTTCCTTGTATTGTAAGGTTTCTCAATTCAAGTTCTCAGATTTGTTAGATTTTCTTGTTTCATTGGTAAGTTTCAGCTTACTAGGAAAGATTTGAAGAAAGAGAAATTCTGGCTGCCTGATAGAACTGTTTCTTTTTTTTTCCTTTCTGCAGGAAATGAAGAACGTGATAAAATTGTTTGTAAGTGTTATAATTTTGCACTGTTGTTCATATTCCTTAGTTACTACAAATGAAAAAAATGTGCACCTAAACTTCTAATGATATGTTTATTTTTAGATTACTCACGATGGTATCCACCTTGGGAGTTCAGAATTATCTGTGATGAAGCCTGTATTGCTGTTATAATTTCGAGAACATTGCTGATATTTGTTGGTTTTCTAGCTATTTATTTGTTCAGAAAACACTTTACAAACATGTTTGTGTTCACATAACTTGATTTGAAATGCATCCAATATTCTGAACATAATCTCTAATGTTTTAAGCAAAAATCTATATTAATATGATTTTAAAGTCAGCTTTCTTTTACTGTAGTTTTGTTACTATTTTATGCTCCTTACAGAAAACTTAACATGCTATAAAAATTAAAAAATTATTTGTAGGTAAGACCCATGTTGAGAAATTAGTAAACTAAGGATGGCATTTGATGTTCAGAAGCATTGTTTTTAATTGCCAAATTTATTGAACTCTGTTTATTTACCAGATTTACGCACTGTATTCTTGGAATTCAAGGAGAAAAATGCCTATCAGTTTAAAAATTTGTTACAGTTCATGCTAAGCCAATATTTGATGTGACAAATGCTTAGTTTTAGTGCCAAGAGGAAGCTAGCATCAGATTACATACAAAGTCCTTTTTGCTAGAGCGACAGAATGTTCTGAGTAAAATCTGTGAAGACATTTCTTTAGAAAGGCAGTTCTTCAGAAGTATTGATTCTTCAGAAGTACATGAAGCAGGACAACTTGATATTTACTCAGTTGTGCACTTACTGCTCCTTATTCAAAATAAGATTATTCAGATTATTACTTTGTTCCCAACTTCCTCTAAACCTTGTGTTTCATTTCTGAACTTTTGCTGTTCTGTTCTTTACACTGCACTGTTACTGATAGAATATTTACTGTCCTGTAAGTGTTCTGTAGTTCTACTAATAAATTTTGTTTTTTAAACCTACTGAAGCCCTTGTATTCAACACTGATTTCACTATTCTATATCCAACAGATCAAATCTTTAATTATTTCACTTTCTTTAAAAAACAAATGTTATTTATACAATAGTCTGAAGCTTCTTTTGTTCCCAGTATAATAAAAGTAGATTTTCCTAATTGTGTCACTGTCTTGTCTAGTAAAAACTAATATAGCTGCTTTAAAGTTCATTATTATTAGGTAATATTTCACCTATATTGTAAAACAGGCTGAAGAAATCCAGACTGAAAAACTGCTACTTTCTGAACTTAATCTGGGCTTCAGGAAGCTTCCTTGAGTTCATCCATATGAAATAATTTGTTTTATGCTTCCTTTTTCTGTGTGTTTGATGGACAATCTGGGTCTAAAACACTGCAGATTATTATATAAGTTAGTATTTGTAATTCCACTGATTTTATATATTAAAAGTATTTATTATAACACAGTCTCGAAGAAAATAAGCCAGACTTTTCTTGAAAACTAATTTATGATTAGATACAACAGCTATTTCTTCTGTAAGTTTTCTCAGATTACTAAAATATGGAACAGACTTTGTGTATTCAAAATCAATGGATTACATTCTCAACGCTAGGAATCTAATTCTATATACTTACGACCATAAGCAGGCAGCCCTTACACACAAAATTGTTCAGTGTGGACATTCCTGAGGAGCAGTTCTTCCCATTGCTTTACTGAAAGATGAAATCCTTCTTTAAATGGCTTCTTGTGATGGAGAAACTGAATTCCAAACCGTAAGGAAAGTTTCCTTAGTACTTGCAGTAGACAATTAGAAATGAATGGCCTAGTTTTGTACTATGCTTTGCTCAGTATTGGGAGGCACAGGAAGGATATTTCTACAAAATGATAAAATGTCAGATTGTTTACTTCACTGTTACCATCCTCAGTGCTGTGTGATGTTCCCAAAAATCATATTGTTTGCCCCATTCCCTAATTTGGTGTCTTTGGGAGAACAAATGGGCAGCCTCTTGTACTTTGGTCCTTGCAGCATCCCTGTGCATTGATCAGAGAAGTCAGCAAGCAGTGTGTTACAGTTCTGCTCTGTTGGGCTGCCAGGCATAGCTGGAGTAAGCAGTACTGTGCAAATTCCCCTAACCAAAAAAGCAGTAAAACTGTCGGAACTACCTGCAGTCCAGCCATGTAATGATGGCATCCTGTAATAATATTATCTGTTTATAGCCTCATTATTAACCCCCAAATTAACAAATATACCTTTTCTCTTTAATTGCATAATTAAATGCAAAATAAATAATTACAAAAGAATTTATTACGAAAGAATTCATGTGGAAATCATCCATACCAACATGATCCTTCCGATTAGTCTCTACTCTGAGGTGAAACTGTGTAATACAAGTAGCAACAGATGTCAGAATGCCAGCTTATTCACACCCCTGGAAGGGCAGGTGATCTTACATCTGCATATCCTATGGGCAGACCAAGAAAGCCTAGCAAATCCACCCACTTGTTAAGCTGAATCAAGCAAGTCAAAGACAAATAGTATCTCTGTCCCTAGCACAAGTAACAACACTCACTGGGAAAGCTGGTAACTTGAGGAGAAAGCTAAATGCAATTTTACATCTTGGACTTCTGTTAGTGTGTAGTCCACCAGTCCTTATTTATCTAACCATGTGATACGTTAGGGGGAAAAAAAAAAAAGAAATGGAAACCTGTTTCCAGCCATTTTAAAATGAAAGCAGGAGGTACAAAGTGAGAAAGAGGAATCTAAGGATGGAATTACAGAATTTTCTTACGAACAATTGGGCTGTACAGTTTCCTGCCCATCCGTCACTCCATGTGCTAAACCTCACTCGAGATTTATGCAAGGACAGGGAACGTTTGTATCATCCAGACAAACACTACATGGATATCCAAATCACAAGGCTTTATTTTCATCTGGTGTACGAAAGAGGACTATTAATGCTGGTGATTAATTGGCTTTCTGTGAAAACATTACGTGTGGACAGACTGCACTTCTGTTTTAAGGATAGACTCACTAGATGGAGCCAGAGTCATCTCTGCAGGAAAGCATCTTAGAACCCTGAATGTGCTGGATAAGCCAAGATTTCCTGCTGTATAAAGCACCCGTTTTCAGTCTCCACGCACATTTCAGCTACACAGATATGAAACTGCTAGATCACTGGATTGCTAAATCCAGTGCAATTGCTAAATCGATGGTGCAATTTTGGTATGCTACTTGCGTTCTATTTTTACAGTTTGTGTGTGTGTAATATAGCCAACAAAGACAACTGTAGGACCTGTTTCTTTCTCTCCCAGATGATCCAAAGCCCCAGAAGGTGTCCACCACACCGTTGCCTTCTGCAGCTGGCCCTACCTTCATGAAATCAGTCAGCAAATCACGGCTGGGCCAAGACATGGGTGGGGAGAATTAGTAATGCTTGACATCCATACATGTGCACACAGAGAAATAGTTACGTTACTCCTATTAATAGCATAGATAGATATAAATGTGATGGAGTTGGAGGACCACCGTTTTGAAATAAAAGATTAACCAGCGTGTGGAAGCATTGACGAGACAATGCAAATCCCACCAGCGCACATCCTGCTGCCCCAGGGAGGGATCAGGCTTGGAATTTTACACCAGCAGCGCTAATCCCACAGTGCTCTCTTTCCGGGAGCACAGAAGGCTCTTCCAATAATGTCAGCCTATCAGATAAGCACAGGTGGCTACTGACAGAGAATCAACATGCATTCATGGCTTGGATTTCTAAGGCATGCCTTTGTACACACCAAACCAAAAGGTCAGGAAGTCTGTTCCTGCTGCTGAGGAACTTTTTTCCTTCTAGTGAGGTCAAAATTTAATGTATACAGTTTCGCTAGTTCTGTTTGTTCTTAGAGTAATTCTGAGAAGGAGGAAAGGTCCTGCAAAATAACGATGTAAGAAAATCAGATGAACAGCAGATCTGTGTTTTATCATAGCTAGAATTTTTATGGTTCACAGGAGTTTTAGCAAACTCATTATGCAGCACCTCTGTGGTTAGCACCAACAGCCACCGAATAGCTTGGCAGTCAACCAGAATGAAACACACTCAAAGAAAAGACAGAGTCATATCTTTAACGTTGCCCCTTGACGATATGCATGGCAGATGCCTGTTTCATGGGCAGCCAGCAGATGTGATGTCAGTTAGATCTTCATCTTAGGAAGCAGTTTCACTTCCTGTTGCTTTGGCAGACACTTTCAAGTATTTCAACACTGGAAGGACTACAGAGGAAGAACCTAGCAGTACTGACTCCACCTGAGCAATTCTTCTTTTAAAAACTTCAAAAAAAATACCAAAAGCATTGAAGAATTATGAAAATCACCTTTTTCTTTGCTGTGCTGTTCTTGCTTGATCGCTTTGTTTGCTGTCATACATATGACCAATATCCCTTGCCTGACATAGAAGATGCAAAGTTCATTGAAGACTGTGTGAGAGCTCACAATGACTTCCGATCCAAAGTGAATCCACCAGCCAGCAATATGCTTCGTATGGTAAGGAGACTTCTGTGATCTATTTGAAAATTAATTAAGATGGTGCTGCTGATTTTAGACCATCCTCGTTTGCATTTCCTCTGTGCTTTTCTTTCCCTTTTTGTCAGTGATTTCTGCACTATGTATGATCATTCTTGGTAGGAAATAGAAAGCAATTCATTTTCGCAGTACTGTTCTATCTTAATAATTGGAAGGGGATTTCTTGTATAGGAACAGATTGTTGCTCTAATTGTCAGCCACAGCTAAGGACTGTATTTAAATGAAATATTCAGTTCTCAGCATTTCATTTACCTTTTTCAGAGAGAGACAGTAATCTTCATTATATTAGCCCAGTTTTCTTACAAGAAATCTGTTTGGTATTAAAAAACTCCTGGAAGGCAACCTGTACCACAGGGTTTATTGGAAATCTAGTCTCTTGCCTTGTTTCCTCCAATCTAGAATATGTACTGAAGAAAGAGATTTGCTTGGACATTCAAATAAATGCCTCATTTTGATTTGCTGCAACAGGGCTTGGAGAGCAGGGGTGCTAGTATCTGGACTAGAAAGCAGATCTCCCCATAAATGTAATGGATGTCAGAACAGGCTGTGTATCAGTCTTAGCTTGCTCAATGGAGTGTGTAAGGAGAAGACAGATAGGTGGGGGAGATAACCCTAGTCAGCTCATGTCATTGCTTTGAGCCTTCAGGCAGTGCTGCTTAGCTGAAAAGGAAGCTAAATGCATAATCACATCAATGCTATGAGTCATTTTATGTAAAGAAGATCACAGCAAAGAAGTAACATTCATACTACTCATGATTTTAATTTCTTGGAACTTTGTTAAATCTATCTACATTTAATTGATAATGGAAAAGCACCAGAGGCAACTTAGCTGCTCGGAGCAAAGATCCAGCAATGCTGGAATAAGAGGACAAATATAAAGAAACCTGTTCCATTGTGTTTGAAAGCTCACAATGGACTTTTCTTGCATGACTTTTTTCGGTCTCTGCAAGTTTTTATCATCCCTAACAACTCACAGCAAATAGCTGCACAGTCTACCTACAAGCTCCGTGATGATATCTCCCAGCATTTTATTTGCTTTTGATAACTACTAGCTTCTTCTGATAGGCTCTGGTGCCTGTATTGGGAAGAACATGTGAGCATTGCTTGTTTACATACTTAACACAAGATAAAAGCTGCTGTATAGGATGTTGCTTTATGAAAGCCTTCCATTCTTAGGATGATCGTGCTCCCCTATGTTCTCTGCATCCCTTCCAGTTCCAATGTCTCCTTCTTAAAGTGAGGTACTGTGCACAGTTTTTAACAGGACTTGTAGTGTACTTACATATTTTTTTTCATTCTCCATTCCTTCTCAAGGAATTTCTAAAACTTTGTCATTTATAGCATGTATGGGAATTACTGAGTCAGAGCCTGAACCTCTGATTGATCACCTGAGGCGAGCCATGAGTCAGCCAGAGGAGCACAGGTGAAGGCAATTCAGCTGTGCTGCCGGAAGGGGTGGAGCCAGGCTGCCCCCCCTCCTAGACCTATTTAAGAGCTGGCTACCAGCAGGGAAGGATCTCTTCTGGAGATTGCCTTTATTGGTGTTTTGTGGTGAGCCCAGCATAAGGGTAAGCCTTCCATTTATTCTCTCTTGTTATCATAGTCTACTTCGCCTTACTCTCTTGTTTATTTTGTGGTTGTAACATCTTGATATCTATTGATTATACAATAGTACTACTCGGCATTGATTTATGCATGGTAATGGTCAGCTCCAAACCTGTCATTATGAACACAGAGCTAAAATTCTTTTTTTTTTTTTCCTTACATCCCTTCACTTACTTACTTTAACTTATTTATTTTTCCATACCTACTTTCACTTGCCATTTTATTGCCTGGTGGCATGAATCTTTCTGCAGTCTCCACGCAGACATAGCAGCTTAAACACTGCAGTCCAGCTCTAAGCATCGTAACAAGTCAGATATTACAGAACAGTGAGAGGTGCTACATGTCCACTAATATCTGAGGGAGAAGGAAGAAGAAAATCTCTTGCTTTAAGAATAGAAAAGACAAGACAAAGAAGCTGAATGCAAAGAAAAAAAATAGCAGTCTTCTCTTTTAGAATACCTGAATCTGCCTAACTCACTGCAGTTCAGGTTACATTGTATTTTCCTTCTTTTCTACAGTCCTGGGATCCTGCTTTAGCTAAATCTGCCAAGGCGTGGGCGAAGAGGTGCATGTTTGAGCACAATATCTATCTTAAAATACCACAGAAGATGCACCCCACCTTTACATCTATTGGAGAAAACATCTGGACTGGCACCGCCACCATCTTTTCTGTGCACGTAGCTCTGACTGACTGGTTTAATGAAGTCAGCAGCTATGATTTCAACACCCGTCACTGCACTGACAAGTGTGGTCACTACACCCAGGTGAGTCTTACGTGCCCAGTGATTTATTATGCTTAAAAAAAAAAAAATGCAGACATGGACCAGACTGCTTTGGAACACAAGTTATGGCAGGGTTTTTACTCCGTATACTAGTGCTCAATGAGATTGGAAGTAAATTCTGATCTGCAGGGCTGTCTGAGCTCTGTTTCATTAATGGTTGGAAGAGATTATCTCCCTGGCTTCTGAGGGAGGCAGGCAATAGGTGCCAGACCACCTATCAGTCATTGGTCCCAGGCACACTTTGGGTTGTCAGCGTTGCCTGTTTTAAACTTTCACAAGATCCTTCCACTCAGTCACCAACTCCTTCATCAATACTGTGAATTCTGGTTCTGGTTGCTTTTACAGACCTTGATCAGGGGCATCACGTTTCACTTTTCCCTTCAGGTTGTTTGGGCAACGAGTTACAAAGTTGGCTGTGCAGTTCACTTCTGCCATAGAATTCACAATCTTCAAGGATTCAACAATGTGGCGCATTTTGTTTGTGACTATGGGCCAGCGTAAGTCAATTATGGCATTTGGGGTTTCATGCTTTTGTTTTTAAATGTGTTTTAATAACAACATCAGATTTTACCAATGGCAGGAACATTATAACAAATTTCAGAAGCTATGTCCACCAATCAGTGGTTCCCCTGACCATCTAAAGCATTAGGTGCTGGGCAGTCTGAGCTGCAGAAAATCACTCTCTATAAAAGCAGACGAGCAGATCCTGGCATAGGGCACATGCTGTCAGCGAGGGCTGTGGAATAAAATCCATTTTCTGGACAAAATGAGATTGAGAGAAAACCTCATTGTTCTCTACAGCCACCCGAAAGGAGGTTGCAGTGAGTGGGATGTCAGTCTCTTTTCTCAGGCAACAGTTGATAGGATGTGAAGAAATAGCTTCAAGTTGTGTCAGGGAAGGTTTAGATTAAATATTAGGAAGAATTTATTTGTAGAAAGGTGGTCAGGCATTACTGACCAGGGAGGTGGTGGTGGTGTCCTCGTACCTGGAGGTATTTAAGAGATATATGGACATGGCAATAAAGGGCAAGGGTCAGTGCTGAACCTGGTAGTGTTAGTTGATGGTTGAACTTTGTTGTCTTAAGTGCCTTTTCCAACCTAAATTATTCTCTGATTCTAGTATAAAAGGAAGACAGTGCTCAAGTTCATCTCATGCTTTGTGATTTCTAGACATACATTTCATGGATTTTTAAAAAATACAGATGGGTAATGAGGGACTAAAAGCAGATTCCCGTACACTTGGGCTGAATACTACAGCATTGCACAAGAAACCTCTGCATGTCAGTGAGAGTATGAGTCTCACCTAAGTGGAATTTCAAATAGTGATAATGATCCTTTTTTGGATAAGGGTTGTTTTGCCCAATAATAGCTTCCCAATAAATATTATTCTAGCATGTGTGTTTAAAGTGCTCTTCCAAAGACTGAGCTAACAAAATACTGTTCTTCTCCTCCTCAGGGGGAATTACCCAACAAAACCTTATAAAGCAGGACAACCATGTAGTGGATGCAGTAACGACCAGTGTGTGGGCAATCTCTGTGGTAAGATCAAAGTGATTCACTAAGGAGATGCATAGAAATAGTGGTGTCGTAAGTATCAGTAAAAATACAGTAGTGGGTCAGTTTGCACTAAGTACATAGTGGGTCTGTAACCCACCACAGGACTAAAATCAGGTTAGGATAGTGTATGAAGTTATCAATTGGAACATTGTGTAATTTAGGGTTCCTGGAGGTACAAAGCAGAGTTTCCAATCAAAAGATGTATCGATTAGATTACTTTTTACCTTTTATCTGTAGGGAAGTCAAAACTAAAATATACCCAACAAATATTCCCATCTGACTTTTTTTCCCCAGGATAAATAGTATATTCAATTTTTCCATTCATTTATATGTCCTAACAAATTTTCCAGGAAACTGTACTTCTGAACCAATAATGAGACTATACTGAAAAATACTTTGTTTTAACTGTTAGAATTTTCTGAAATAAAGCAATGAGAGCTTGTTTTTCCACAGCAGTTTGCAGCCGTGAATCTTAATTGTCTCACCCAGTCCCAAATTAGTCAGAAACAGTGTTTTAAATGGTCAGAGAGTAACAGGCATGCAAGAGTGTCTTAAATATTACTCCTGTGCAGCGTTTCACAGGAGATGTTCTCTACTAGCCAGACTCTAGATAGCTTCAGCTGTAAAAATAATTGAGCATTTGCTATTTGTTTTCCTTCTGTGATGTCCTAGCTGACTCATTTTGAAGTCACAGGCTGACAGGCCACAGAAAGGCTATCAGCATCACAAAGACTAGGGGGACGGAGAGGAAAAAGAGAGCTTCTGTTAGTTCAGTGCTAGATCCTACAACCAGTTTTGCTATATTCTCCTACAGGACAAAGACTGTTGCATTGATGTCTTTTTTTCTGATCTCTCCACAGTAAACGCAGAACGTGAGAAACTTATAAGTATGTATTTGATTGCTTTTCACTGTTTTGAGTATGGCTAAGCTGATCAGGCTTTAACAATCATTTCTTTATTCTTTTTTAGGTTATACCAACTGGTATCCAGACTGGGACACTCTGCCGCAGCCACCGCAGCCCCGTCCCCCCCACCCTCCAGCCCGTCAGCCTCCGGCCCACACACCCACAACTGGGCAGCTGCATTCTTCCTGTGACCACTACTGTGTTAGTGTCTTGATTTTAAGGCCACTATTTTTGGTACTGAGTGCTGTAGGTGTTCGGTTAGCGCAGCGGTGGTTTCCACACGTTTGTATACATGTAATGATTGCTAAGATGCTGATAATGATTCTACCATTCCATTAGAGAACTGCGTGTTTGATAAAAAGCAGTCATCTCTGCTATACTTTGTGGTGTTTATCCAATGCAAAATGCTTCTGCATTCACGAGAAGATTTAAATGGCTGTGCATGGAGTTGCTCTAATTTATTAGTGTGGCTTCTACATCTGTAAGAGCCTCTTAACTCAGCTTCGGGGGAAGTTTGCTGGAAGGACCATGTAGGCAGTGTACTGCTGCATATGCTAATAAGCCTTCTGGAAACCTGGAGCATCACAAAGATCTGAATCATAGAATCAAAGAGTATCCCAAGTTGGAAGGGACCTCAATGATTATTGAATCCAACTTCCAGCTCCATGCAGGACTACCAAAAAATCAGGGGACCTGAAGTGAAAAAGGCCAACGAAAAAGCTCTTTTTAAGGCTTTTCAAAAAAGATGGAGACAGCGACCCAGACAGAGGGCCTGCCCAGAAGTGTGGCTGTTCAGGTCTCCAGCTGCAAGGAGTGCGTGAGCCTGCTGCTGCCTGGGGAGGGGTGGCAGGGATTCCACCTGTGTGAGGTGTGAGCAGGTGGATGAGCTGCTCAGCCTGGTGGTGGAGCCCAAAGAGGAGGTGGAGAGACTAAGGACCAGTAGGGAGTGTGAGCGGGAAATCGACTGGTGGAGTGACTTGCTGGTGTGCCAGAGGGAAGGGTGCCAGGGAGATATCCCCAGAAAGGTGTGGACCCCTGCCCTGTCACAATCAGACAGACCTGACAGATGAGAAGGGTTGGAAGAGAGTTTCAACTCAGCATCACTGAGCCCGGTTCCCCAGCTCCTGCTAAGCAACAGGTTTGGGACGCTGGAAATTGAAGGGGTGATGAGTGGTGAGGTGATGGAGGATCTGTCTAGGAGGGAGCCTAAGGCGAGGTGGTCACCCCCACAGCTTTAGACTGCCTCTGTCAGGAAAGATAGAAAGGTGATCGTAGTGGGTGACTCCCTTCTCAGAGGAAGGCCCAGGTCAGGTGCATAACCAGGAAACTCCCAAAGCTGGTCAAGTCCACTGATTACTTTCCATTACTCATAGTTCAGTGAGCAGTGATGAAATTGCTCAGGGAAACCTGTAAACTATGAAAAGAGATTTCAGAGGTTTAGTGCATTTAGTTCAAGGAAAAGGAGCTCAAGTGATCTTTTGTTCTATACTTTCAGGGGCAATGAAGGACACAGAGTGGGCTTGGAAAGCCCAAGCAATGAATAATTGACTCAGAGGCTGGTGTCGAAGCAGAAACTTTGGGTTCTTTGATCATGGCCAATTGTCCATCCGTGGAACCCACCTGTCTCAAAGAGGGAAACAATCCTCAATAAAGCTAGCAGGGCTTATCAATAGAGCTTTAAACTAGCTACAATGGGGGAAGGAGACACAACAGGGCTCACCAGAGATGAGCCTAAGGGAACAGTGCTGGAACTGGGGGAGTGGTAGATGACTCACACAGCATGGACAACAAGCAGGAGGAGCTGGAAGCGATTGTGAGGCTAGCTGTGACCTAGTTGCTATTACCAAAACATGGTGGAACCATTCCAATGACAGGAGTACTGTGATGGATGGCTACAAGCTCTCCAGAAGAGATAGACAAGGAAGGAAGGATGGTGGTGTGGCACTTCATATTAAAGTGTGTTTTGATGTCAAAGAGCTTGGGGTTGTGAATGATAAAGTTGAACATCTATGGGTAAGGATCAGGGGAAGGCCTGTAGGAGCGACATCTTAGTGGGGATCTTTTATAGACCACCTAATCAGGATGAAGTGATGGATGAGGCATTCTATGAGCAGACTGCAGAAGTTGCACAATTGCCAGCACTTGTTCTCATTGAAGACTTCAACTTCCCTGATATATGTTGGAAATACAATACTGCAGAGAAAGCATTCCAAGAGGTTTCCAGAGTGCATGGAACATAGCTTCTTTACTCAGCTGGTATGAGAGCCTGCCAGGGGTGGTGCCCTGCTTGACCTGCTCTTCACTAACAGAGAAGGACTGGCGGGAGATCTAAAGGCTAGGGACTGTCTTGGGCAGAATGACCACGAAATTGTAGAATTCTCTATTCTAGGAGATGTCAGAAGGGTGAGTAGCAAAACTGTTATCTTGAACTTCTAGAGGGCGGACTTTGACCTGTTTAGGATGCTTGTTGCAGATATCCCTTGGGAATCCCTCCTTAAGGGCAAAAGGGTCCAGGAAGCCTGGATGCTCCTCAAGATGGAAGTCTTAAAGGCACAAGAACAGGCTGTTCCTGAATGCTGTAAGGTGAGCCGTAGGGGAAGAAGACTGGTGTGAATGAACCAGGAATTGCTTTGAGACTCCAGAAGAAAAAGAGATCTATGTCCTTTGGAAGAAGGGACAGGCTACTTGGGGGGATTACAAGGAAGTTGCTAAGGTATGCAGGGTGGAAGTTAGGAAGGCAAAAGCCCAACACAAGCTCAGTTTGGCCACTGCAATGAAAGGGAATAAGAAATCCTTTCACAAATATATCAACGGTAAGAAAAGAACCAAGGAGAATTTCCATCCTTTACTTGATGCAGCAGGGAATGTGACCACTGAGGATAAGGAGAAGGCTGAGGTCCTCATTGCTTTCTTTACATCTGCCTTTAATAGGCAGATCAGACATCCTCAGTGCACTTTACACCCTGGTCTGGAAGTCTGGGATGCTATGCTGAATACATCTGGGTGATTCAGGCGGAGATGGTTAGAGAGCTCCTCCTCCATCTGGACTGTCATAAATCCATGGGACCGGAGAGGTTCCACCCTCAGGTGCTGAGGGAGCTGGCAGAGGTGATTGCCGAGCTGCTCTCCACCATCTATCAGCACTCTTGGTTATCTGGAGAGGTCCCAGAGGACTGGAGGCTTGCTGATGTGACTCCCATCTGCAAGATAAGGTAAGGAGAATGCAGGGAACTACAGGCCTGTCAGCCTGACATCAGCACCAGCGAAAGTTATGGGGCAAATCATCTTGGATGAGATTGCACAGCATGTGTGTGGCATCCAGGGCATCAGGCCCAGCCAGCACGGGTTCATGAAAAGCAGATTGGGCTTGACCAACCTCATCTTCTACAACTGGGTGACCAGACGATAGATGGGGAAAAGGCTGTTGATACAGTCAACCTAGACTTCACCAAAGCCTTTGACGTGGTCTCTCACAGGCTTCTTCTAGGGAAACTGGCTGCCTGTGGCCTGGATAGGTATACCCTTCTTTGGGTAAGGAACTGGCTAGAGGGCCATGCCCAACAGGTAGTGGTGAATGGAATTAAGTCCAGCTGGCGACCCATTTCAAGTGCTGTCCCCCAGGGGTCGGTGCTGGGACCCATCTTGTTTAATATCTTTATTAATGAATTAGATGAGGGGATTGTGTGTACCCTCAGTAAGTTTGCAGATGACACCAAGCTGGGAGGTGGTGTTGATTTGCCTGATGGTAGGGAGGCCCTTCAAAGGGATCTGGATAAGCTGGATCGCTGGGCTGAGGTGAATGGGATGAGGTTGAACAAGGCCAAGTGTCGGGTCCTGCACTTTGGGCACAATAGCCCCGTGCAGCGCTACAGGCTTGGGGATGAGTGGTTGGATGACTGTGAAGAGGAAAGGGACCTGGAGGTGTTGGTTGATGCTCGGCTGAACATGAACCCACAATGTGCCCAGGTGGCCAAGAGGGCCAATGGCATCCTGGCCTGCATTAGAAATAGTGTGGCCAGCAGGAGCAGGGAGATAATTGTCCCCCTGTACTCAGCACTGGTGAGGCTGCACCTCAAGTACTGTGTTCAGTTTTGGGCCCCTCACTACAAGAAAGACATTGAGGCCCTGGAGCGTGTCCAGAGAAGGGCAACAAAACTGGTGAGGGGTCTGGAGCACAGGTCTTATGAGGAGCGGCTGAGGGAGCTGGGATTGTTCAGTCTGGAGAAGAGGAGGCTCAGGGGAGACCTCATTGCACTCTACAACTTCCTGAAGGCAGGTTGGGGTGAAGAAGGGTTTGGCCTCGTTTCCCAGGCAACAAAACAGGACCTGAGGAAACGGCTGCAAGTTGTGTCAGGGGAGATTTAGATTAGACATAAGGAAGAACTTTTTCTCTCAGAGGGTGGTCAGGCACTGGAATGGCTGCCCAGGGAGGTGGTGGAGTCACCATCCCTGGCAGTGTTCAAGAGACTTCTGGATGAGGAGCTGCGAGATATGGGTTAGCGGCGTGTGGTAGCAATAGTAATGGGAGGATGGTTGGACTAGATGATCTTGCAGGTTCTTTCCGACCTTGTGACTCTATGATTCTATGATCATACTCTGTGTCTGGGAGCATCCTTCAGCTCTAAGTTGAACTTAACTCTGGGTCCAAAAGAAGCAATAACTCATTTTCATTAAATTTAAATTATCCCAAACATTTTCTCTTAATATTGGAGATTTAACTATGTATTACTTCTAAAGAAGAGAAAGAATAAAGCTTGTCCTTTACTAAGCCTGCATGTGTTAGTCTCCATTTAAGTTATTCTATTGTCAGTGTTACCATTCCATTCTTCTCTCAGAGCAAATCTTTGTTCTCTCTAGCTGAAAAAATACAGGCAAAGATTGATAGAGCGAGGTTTAAAATGGAGTGCCAGTGGAAGAAACCTAATATTAGGATATACGAAAGTGACAAAATGTGACATGCAGAGTAGGTAACATCCACCCTAAGCTGCCAGGGAGAGGAGTAGGGAAGAAAACCAGGTGTGGAAGAAATGAGGCGGGCTCAGAACAGATTCTGGTTCAGAAATGAAGATCTCAGCCTCATTCAAAAAGCTTGAATCACTGGTGACTTCAATTTGTTTTTAGAGACTTCTGGCTTCAACCACCTATTGCTCCTACGTACCTTTGTTAGCAAAGGAAAACAAACCCTGTCTGAAAGCCATGCTTCAAGTTAAGAAATACTGGCTGAAATTAGCATGCGTAACTGCTATTAATGTTTCCCCTCCTTTATTTTAGACCTACTGTTTGTGAACTCAGTATCTCAAATTGTAGCTCACAAGGAATGTATTGAACTCCACCTGGGGGAGAGTGCTGCGGCAGTGGAGAGCTTGTGGGTGAGAATCAAGGGGCGGGCTGGTATGGCTGACACTGTTGTGGGAGTGTGCTACAGGCCCCCTGATCAGGAGGAGGAGGTTGATGAGGCCTTCCACAAACAGTTGGAAGCAGCGTCACGATCCTAGGTGCTGGTGCTTATGGGGGACTTCAATTACCCAGATATTTGCTGGAAAAGCAATGTGGCCAGGCATGCGTGGTCCAGACGGTTCCTGCAATGTGTTGAAGACAACTTCCTGATGCAGGTGGTTGAGGAATCGACGAGGAGACGGGTACTGCTGGACCTTATTCTCACTAATACAGAAGGGCTTGTCAGGGAAGTAAAGGTCGGGGGCAGCTTGGGTTGTAGTGAGCACGAGATGGTGGAGTTCAAGATCCTGAGTGGAACAAGTAAAGCAAAAAGTAGGATTGCTACCCTGGACTTTAGGAGAGCCAACTGTGATCTCTTCTGGGACCTACTTGGAGCTATCCCTTGGGCTGGGGTGTTGGAAGGTAAGGGGGCCTGTGAGAGCTGGTCGGCATTTAAGCAGCTCTTCTTCCAAGCTCAGGATTGGTGCGTCTCTGTGAGGAAGAAATTGGGAAAGGGTGGCAGGAGACCTGTGTGGATGAGCAAGGAGCTCGTGCACAAACTCAAAGGAAAGAAGAAGGCCCATGAAATGTGGAAAAAGGGTCTGACCACTTGGGAGGAATACAGGAATGTTGTCAGGGCCTGCAGGGATGCGACGAGGAAGGCTAAAGCCCACCTGGAATTAAATCTGGCAAAGGGGATAAAGGATAATAAAGAAGGCTTTTTTAAGTACGTTAACAGTAAAAGGAAGACTGGGGGGAATGTGGAACCCCTGCTAAGTGACGGGGGTGTTCTGGTAACGGGGGATGCTGAGAAGGCGGAGATACTGAATGACTTCTTTGCTTCTGTCTTCAGTGGAAAAGCTCCCCCTCAGGAATCCGAGACCCTGGAGGTTAGTGAGAGGGTCTGGAGAATGGATGACCTCCCTTCAGTCAGGGAAGAGGTGGTCCGAGAGCGCCTAGGCAACACCAATGTTCACAAATCCATGGGATCCGATGGGATGCATACACTGGAGCTGAGGGAGCTGGCAGAGGTGATTGCTGAACCACTTTCTGTCATCTTTGAGAGGTCTTGGAGAACGGGGGAGGTGCCTGAAGACTGGAAGATAGCCAACGTCACTCCGGTCTTCAAAAAGGGCACGAAGGAAGATCCAGGCAATTATAGGCCAGTCAGCCTCACCTCTGTCCCTGGAAAGGAGATGGAACAGCTGGTGCTGGATGTCATCTCCAGACAACTGGAAGAAAAGGAGGTTATCAGGAGTAGTCAGCACGGGTTCACCAGGGGAAGGTCGTGCTTGACCAACCTGGTAGCCTTCTATGATGTTGTCTCTGGCTGGGTGGATGGGGGGAGAGCAGTGGATGTAGTCTACCTTGATTTCAGCAAGGCATTTGATACTATCCCCCACGACATCCTTATAACAAAGCTGAGGAAGTGTGGGATAGATGAGTGGACAGTGAGGTGGGTTGAGAACTGGCTGACTGGCAGAGCACAGAGGGTCGTTGTTGGTGGTGCAGAGTCTGGTTGGAGGCCTGTAACCAGCGGTGTTCCTCAGGGGTCTGTGCTGGGTCCGGTCTTGTTCAACATCTTCATCAATGACCTTGATGAGGGGATGGTGGCCACCCTCAGCAAGTTTGCTGATGATACGAAGTTGGGAGGATTGGCTGACACGCCTGAAGGCCGTGCTGCCATTCAGCAAGACCTGGACAGGCTGGAGAGCTGGGCAGAAAGAAACCAGATGTGGTTTAACAGAAGCAAGTGAAGAGCCTTGCATCTGAGGAGGAATAATTGCATGCACCGGTACAGGTTGGGGGATGACCTGCTGGAGGGGAGCTCTGCGGAAAGGGACCTGGGTGTCCTGGTGGACGACAGGTTGGCCATGAGCCAGCAGTGTGCCCTTGTGGCCAAGAGGGCCAATGGCATCCTGGTGTGCATTAAAAAGAGCGTGTTCAGCAGGTCGAAGGAGGTGATCCTCCCCCTCTACTCTGCCCTGGTGAGGCCTCATCTGGAGCACTGCGTCCAGTTCTGGGCTCCCCAGTACAAAAAAGACAGGGATCTCTTGGAAAGAGTCCAGCGGAGGGCCACGAAGATGGTGAAGGGCCTGGAGCATCTCTCCTATGAGGAAAGGCTGAGTGAACTGGGTCTGTTCAGCCTTGAGAAAAGAAGACTGAGAGGGGACCTGATCCAGGTCTATAAATATCTGAGGTGTGGGGGGCAGAATGGCGAGGCCGGACTGTTTTCAGTGGTGAGTGGAGACAGGACAAGGGGAAACGGCCGGAAACTGCAGCATAGGAAGTTCTGCACAAATGTGCACAAGAACTTCTTTACAGTGAGGTGACGGAGCACTGGAACAGGCTGCCCAGGGAGGTGGTGGAGTCTCCTTCTCTGGAGATGTTCAAGAGCTGCCTGGATGCCTACCTGTGCGACCTGCTGTAGGGAACCTGCTTTGGCAGGGGGGTTGGACTCCATGATCTCTGGAGGTCCCTTCCAACCCCTACAGTTCTGTGATTCTGTGATTCTGTGAATGTAGCATCACACAAAGAAAATGAACACTAGGTATTCAGGCTTTTGTTAAAATGTCACCATATAAGAAAACACATATTTAACTTGACCATTGTCAGTTCTTCTCTGCTGCCATCTTTCATACTGAGAGATAAGTAAAGATTTAAATTAAAGGGTTTAAATACAGATTTAGAGAGTATATATGCATGCATTTATTATTGTTTGCCTTTAACAGACAGGATAGCTGACCTGAATTGGCCAAAAGATATATCACATCATGTAACATTGTGCTCAGAAATGAAATCAAGAGTAGAGGAAGAAGAGGCAAGGTTTTCTTCCAGGGTGGCCACTGCTCACAGACTGGGCATCTATATATCTGTCTGTGAGGGTGATTGCCTTCACAGCACTTGTTATTTTGTTTGTTTTTCTCCTTCATCTCCACTTCTGTTGGGCTGTCTTTATCCTGACTCATGAGTTTTATCATCTTTTAATTCCTGCTTTCTACTCCATTCTGGTGGGAATGGAGACTGAGTGAGTGGCTGTGTGGGTGTATCTTGCTCCAATTTATAGGAGGGAAAGGAGGTTCTTTGATACTTGTATACTCGGTGTGAGATTAAGAAGCAGTGGTTCAAATGTTGGTCCGACCGGTTTATTACAAATCTTAATCAGGGTGATAGAGAAGGGGAGGACAGACACTATGACGAATTAGGGTGATGGGGAAGGGAAGAAAGGTGATAGAAAAGATAGGAAAGAAGCAAGGAGTATTTCTGTGAAACAAGAGGGAGATAGTCACCACAATGGATCCAGTGTGGTTCGTAGCTCAGTCTTCAGTAGTGGTGGGTCATCAGGCGTTGTTCTGTTGACAATGATAGTGACCATGGCAATGGTGATGGCAGCTTCTCAATAGTAGAACCAACTTATTTATAAGTCCAAAGTGGTCGAGTCAGCTCTCTTTTGAGTGGCAGCTTCTGGTTCTGGGATCTCAGCAGAAACTCCTTTGTTCCCATCTTCCGGGCCTTGCCAGCAGATAAGAGGGAACAGGGAAGCGCCAACTTGTATCTTGCCTTCACAGGATGCAATGGTTTCATCCCCCAGTCTCCCATAGCAAGCTGGAGTTATTTGGTCACAGGCTAGATCTTCTGCCAGTAAACAGTCCTGAGCACTCTCTTCCAAAGGCAAACAGCTCCAAAGAAATGCTTTCAAATGTAAAATTGTCCACACAGTGTTGTTGATTGGCACATGCAACACCCATCACTCATCTCCTAGACAAGTCAGTCTTATCACAAGAAATACCTCAGGAAGCAAGCTTTGAGCCAAAAACAAAGGATTCATAGAGGGTGCTTGACTGCTGGCAGGGCCCAATCCACCCTATTATTCTTTAAGAAGTGATCTGTAGTGAAATTGGGAGCATGGTGTTTCCTGCACCTGATTCCTTCAGAGGGCTTTCTTGCCCATAAACGGTCTCCCCCAAAAAGCTGAGGTGTGCAACCCATGGCACGTAATGTGTCCTGGTGGGGCTGCTTCTGTAGGCCCACAGCATAACTTGCTATGACCAAGGCCAACATTTACAGCATCGCATGCACAGAAGTGGTAACTGTGATTTACACCTAAGTATCCAAAATTGCAAATTCCTAAAATGAAACATAGAGTGGGAAGAAATCCAACTTCATTCCCATGAAGATGTCCAAGTTGGGTCACAGAAAGGATCCTGAGCTTGGTGGAGAGATTATAGTTACAGGCACTGTGAGGAAAGGGTGGTGATGTTAGCGGGTCTGGGCAGGGGGTGTTGGGGTACATGAGGCAGTGTGACTGGGACAGCAGCTGCTGGGTGAAAAGCCCGGTGTGGGTGCTGGGCATGTAGCATGAGGCAGCACCAACCTCTGTGGCACACAGCTCCACTGCAGACTTGGGTCACGGGGAATGATTCATGAATTGCTGAAGCTGGGGAGGAAAATTTGGGAGCAATAAATACCACAAGCAAGTGATCACAGAAGAAACCCATCAGTATGCATAGTATATTTAACTCACACTTAGCCAATAACTGCAAGTACAGCCATAGTGACTGCTCTACTATAGTAAAAGATTTAATTCAGATCAATTATGTCTCATTGCTTTTTGTCTCAGAATGGCAGACTTAACAGCAATGCTGTTTTTATGAAAAGCAGAAAAAATATCCAAAACTTTCTTGTAACCCATTGTGATTGCTATGGATGGCAGGTTACAAAAACAAAGAAGCCCTAGGGCTAGGAGACGAGAAGCTTGCCCACTGCAGTGAAAGAAAAGAGAGAAAAAGATTCTGCGGCTTTAATGTGAATTCGTAGCTTAATTTCCCTATTCTCATAGCAACGCTCTTGAAATATGACTCATTTCCTGTGACATGTGCTGCAGTCAATTACCATGGCTAAGACAAGTCCAGCCCACAAGCCTTCCAAGCAACACAAGTCCACAAGCTGCAAGGAGAGCTAAAGCCACCTTACGCAGCTGAAGTGTTCTGTTCTTCAAGCTGACAGACTGGAGGCTAAGTAACATGATAAGCAGATTTTTCACTTGTGAGCTGGCTTTATTGCATTTCTGCCTTTCTTCTGGCTTCTATCAACCAGAGACGTTGCCTGATATTGGAGATGCAGAGTTCATTGAGGAATGTGTGAGAACGCACAACAGATTCCGGTCTGGAGTGAGCCCCCCAGCCAGCAACATGTTGTACATGGTAAGGGGATATTCACAGTTTACATGCAAGTGTGGTGTTTACAGTTGTTAAAGATGATTTTTCTAATCAAATGTAAAAAAATGAAAAAGAAACCAACTCCTGGGACCATAGCTGCAGTTCCTCTTTAAAGCAGAAGATAAGGCTCTGATTGTTGGATGGTGTTACACAATCAGATACGTGTGTAGCTTAGCTGACTTAGTTTTTTCATTCAAAACTCAAAATTTTAACCCTAAGCTTAGCACTGTGAAAAGTGCTGTGAAAAGGCTCCTCGTTACAAGGCATTGCAGTTTATCAGCCTGGGGTGTGATTTATGTGCAGACCTTAGCACAACCTTTCACACTTGAGTTGGCAAGTGCAGAAAACATTGCCAAATGGCTTTGGAGAGCTTTTCTTTTAGCTTTCTTTGCAAAGATCTCTGCAGCCTGAGCCAATAGAGAGCTGTTAGCTGCAGCTCCTAGGTGCTGGGCTGCAAAGGAAGCCAAAACAAGTGCAGCAGCTGCAATAGCTGCAGGCATTGGTCCTGCACAGTGGTGCCCATCTCTGGCTGCAACCATCATGCAAAAGGCAATCTGTTGTGATTCAAAAGAACCCCAGCCCTGGGAAGTAGCTTTAGTGGGGCAAACCAAACCTCCACTGCATATTGCTCCAGACCTTTTCTGAAACTTTTTCTAAACCGCTTCGCTAGCTCTGTGCTAACAGAGTCTTGCTATGAGCAGTATCCATCTTTTTAAAATTGCAGCGATTTTGTGCCTGATTTTTCTTTTTGAAAAGCTGAAGATCTGGAACCAGAAAAAAAAAAAAAAAAAAAAAAAAAAAAAGCAAACAAAGGTCACCACAAAGAAGAAAAGAACCAAAATAATGGCAGCTTTCTTTTAAAGAGCTGCAAAAAAACTAGTCTTGGGTATGACCTCTCCCAGTAAGAATTTGTTGTGGATAAAGCAGTGAAATACATTATAAAATCAATGAGAAAAGGAGAAGTATTGAAATTGAGAAGATCATATATGTTCATTGTTGTAACTGACCTTAGTGCTACAAAAATGAGGAAAACAAGAAAACTTTTTTATTTCTCAGAACACTTCTGTTTCCTGCTGATAACTGTCCATCTAGATGCATAAAGATGAAGGATATGAACTCAAGGCACTTCCATCCTTTGGGAAAAAAATACTTTTTAAAACAAAATGCAAGACAGAAACTCCTTTAAGCACAAGTGACAAAGCCTAACCAGACACATTTGTAATACAGCTGTTATTATTAATGCTAGTGCAGGATGAAGAAGGAAAGAGGGGTGCGAACTCTCCAGCAGAGGCTGAAAAATGGGACTGAGGAGGACTAACCTATCAACTGCTGTCACAAAGCTTTTGTCACGGTCTTCTGCTTGTGACCTCACAGCATCGCCAAAATGTAAACTGCAGCCTCTGTCTCAGCTTGCAGCAATGCTAGGACTGGGAGATAATGCCTGAACAAAGTGAGATTGTGTTAATTATCCTTCAGAGTTATCATCTAAGGAAACAACAGATCTTCAGTTGCATTTAGACCCCCTGCTACCAAGCTTACCTTTATTATTCCATGTACTGAGGTCTTAGACTTATTATTTATGTTTTAGCTTTGCAGGACAACACTTCTCCCAAATAATTGGCAGAGGGAGAATTGGAAGAAGGTGGTTACAAAATATTTTCAAATCTTTGTAGATCTATTTTGATGTCACCTGGCAATTTCTCCTTACTTATTCATTGCATTTAAAAAAAAAAAAAAAAAAAAAAAAAAAAGTTTTAGACATCTTCAGTACAAAAAAACTATATTGTGTAAAACACAGGCAAATCTTTCCTCAGTCATGATCAGATCAAAACAGTTTCTCTCTGGTGATCCCACTGTTTGCAGAGGCAACTGAGAGATTTTAATCCATGCACAGAAGGATAAATAAGAAAGTCTTATTTTTTTACAAAAGCCCAATCAGAAATTCTCCAGCAGTACTGAACAGCTTAATTTTCATGACGCAGTGCTTAAGCAGAGCTCCAGGAGCTGTTTTCCAGGAGGGATAACACTGCTTGCTTAATCAGATTGTGTACACAAGAAAACCCAGTGGAATCAGACAATGCCTCCAGTGCAAACAAAAGACATTCATATAACTCAATGGCTTATGCAACAGCTCTTTGTTGGACTGAATTGCAAGTGAGTGAGTGATTCCACAAATATGAATTCAGTGCTAGTGTTTGAAGCCACAAAATTCCCTGAGTTTAGACTGTTTCAAAAATCCTGCATGTTTGTGACTTGACCGGCAAGCAGCGGCCCTAATCTCTGAGGCTGCATGAGATTTCAGACAGTTTGGGACAGAAAGCACAACCCTTTTCTTCCAGGCTTTCTATAAATACTTTTTTTTAAAGGTTAAATTAACATTCACCCTTAAGTGGCACAGCCTGAAAATGTGTATTGTGCTCCATACACTTTGATGCATAAGTCTTGGCACTCAACAAGCATGTCAGACACAATTGTCCACCTCTCCAAAATCTTCCCCATGTTTAATGAGTGGCTAGATTCCCATTGGAACTTACAAGTCAGTCTACCATACAGCACTCGAAGTCTCAGCAGAAATAAACAAGCGAACCTGCAGCATATAGACACAACTCCTCCAAAATCTGTTCAGCACTACTGCATTGCTAAGATAACCAAGTCATTTTTACTTGTCTTTATTTTGCAGAGTTGGGATCCAGACTTGGCAAAGACTGCAAGAGGTTGGGCAAAGAGATGCGAGTTTAAACATAACATATACCTCCAAGAGCCAGGGCAGGCTCACCCCAGATTTACTCCTGTTGGAGAAAATCTCTGGACTGGCTCACTTTCAATTTTTTCAGTGCAAGGAGCCATCACCTCTTGGTACAAAGAGGTCAGAGACTACACATACACCAGCAATAGCTGTAGCAGAGTATGTGGCCATTACACACAGGTAAGGCATCACACTTATCCAACTCTGTCAAGTTTAGTTGTACTCAGTGCTGCTGAGGCTTCAAGTACTGTGTCTTGGGCCTCTCACTGCAAGAAATATATCAAAGCCATGGAGCCTAGTGTCCAGAGAAGGGCAGCAAAGTTGTTGAGGGACCTGGAGTACAGGTCATATGCAGAATGGCTGAGGGAACTGAGATTATTTAGTCTGGAGAAGAGGAGGCTTCGGGGAGACCTTATTGCTCTATACAACTGCCTGAAAGGAGGTTGTGGTGATGTGGGGTTGGCCTCTTCTGCCAGGTAACAGGGACAAAGCAAAAAGTCATGGTCTTAAGCTGCATGAAGGGAAGCTCACTTTGGATATCAGGAAATATTTCTTCCCAGAAAGAGTGATGAGGTGTTGGAATAGGCTGAGGAAGTGGTAGAGTCATCACCATCCCTGGAAATTTTCAAGAAACATGGAGATGCAGCACTTAGGGACATGGTTTAGTGTACATTGCAGTGATGAGTGGATGGCTAGAATAGATGATCTTAGAGGTCCTTTCCAACTTTCATGGGTCTATGATTCTATGGTTATATGAACTAGACTTGCAGTTCTGACAAAGAAATTCTGTTCTGTTCATGGACTTGGCAAACAACGAGTTGCAGGCTTCCCTTTGGAAAGGGAAATAGGGTATGTGGTGCTGAGTTGAATTGGATAACTCATGCTACGCAGAGGATCTGATGCTCTTGTCTCTGTTATGTCAGTCATGCTTGTGGTCATAGAAGGCAAGACTGCAACCTGAATGTGCTCCTTCTCCCTGTTGTTCCTGTAGCTCCCTGCTTTTTGTCATTTGCCTGTGCAGTAAACCCCTGTAGAAGACAGCAAACAGCTTTGTACTCACAGATTTTATATCCTCCAGTGGGAAAGGCAGAACTATCATGGATTACTATGAAGGAAAGGAGACAAATTTCACCTTCTCCTTTGCAAGAAAGGAAAACTATCTGTCACAATCAATTTCTCTTTCTTTCAGCCATTTTAATTGTAAAATCATAGAATGGTTTGGGTTAGAAGGGACCTTCAAGATCACCTAGTTCCAATCTCCTGCTATAAGCAGGGACACCTCCCCCTAGACCAGGTTGCTCACAGCCCCATCCAGCCTTGAATGCTTCCAGGGACAGGCACCCACAGCCTCACTGGGCAAACCAGTGTCTCACCACCCTCACAGTAAATAATTTCTTCCTGATATCTAGTCTAAATCTACCCTCTTCCAGTTAAAAACCATTTTCCCTCATCCTGTTGCTATATGCCCTTCTAAGAAGTCCCTTCCCAGCTTTCCTTTAGGCCTCTTTTGGGTACTGGAAGGCCACTATGAGGTCCCCCAGAGTCTTTTCTAGGCTGAAAATACCCAGCTCTCTCAGTTTGTCCTCATAGAAGAGGTGCTCCAGTCCTCTGGTCATCAAATAAATTAATAAACATCTAGTGAATTAGTTAAAACAACCAGATATTCTTCAGAACAAGCTATTATTTAGATATCCATCATTACTGCTTACCACTGCAAATCATGTCCAAGGAGCATTCCAAAGCCTATCTGACATGTAACACAGAGGAGGGCAAGGCTTTTCCCTAAAAGTGTAGCTGTTAACCAAATATTCAGCCACCAATGTTTGTGTCTGTCTTTCCAGGTCGTTTGGGCTCAAAGCTACAAGGTTGGCTGTGCTGTCCACTTCTGTCCCACAGTGTCATACTTCTCAGGAACCAACGCAGCACACTTCGTCTGCAACTATGGGCCAGCGTAAGGTTTCCAGGACAAATATTTTAGAGGATTCAGATCCTGCCCCTTCTTCCCTCCCACAGTGTGCAATTTGACAGGATCAGACCATTTTTTCTTGTGTTTATGGGCAGAAATGGTCGTCAAAACAGAGAAAGATATATATGTCTATCCAAGCAACCCTAGTTTGAGTAAATGGGAGTTATATATTGTAGCCAAAAAGCAGTGGTGCTGGTAGAAAAGGTAAAATATAAGACACTGAAATAAGCATACCTAAGTGATCATTTGAAAGCTGTTCCCTCGTTCCTCAGTGCCGAGGTGGCCCCAGATGGTTGCCAAGGCGCAGATCCAAGGTGTGAAAATTTTTACACATTTGTCTGCAGAATCAGGTCTCTTGGTCAGTGGTTTGAGTAAATACTGAAGTGTGCAGTGCTTGTAGCTGCAGGCTGAGCTTTAGTATGAGAGCTTGGACATGTGATGCTGGGGCTGCTCAAGACAGAATTTTATTGAGAGATCCTTCATATGCATTGTAAGTAGCATATTTGCTGTCTGAGGTACAGAGAGACACGGAGGCTCTGAAGGACCTGCTGAACCTTGGTCTCAGCTTGAGTGCAGGATGCTTTCTTGGTCCTGGTTGAGGCCCTGATCTGCTCAGCCCTTAAGGTCACAGGGAGCATAGAGTACAAAGCCCTTACTGTGGATATTTACTACCTGCCAAAATCTTCATGGAGCAGCCTGGGCACCTCCTGGGCGAGGTGGGAGCAGGGCAGTCAGGCAGGGCTGACCAGGACACAGTTCACTGTCAATACAAGCGGAGAAAATCTCAAGTTCAGAAGTAAATTAGCAGAAGGGATTGCCATCCCCTCATAAGGGCAGCTTCAAAGCAATGTTATTTTCTTTCACAGTGGGAATTACAGACGGCACCCATACGAGACAGGAGCAGCATGCAGCAAATGCAATGGCGAGCAGTGCACTGACAATCTGTGTCGTAAGTAGGCAACCCACCCTCCTCCACAGGCACGTGTAGAAAGAGAGGGAGCATGCAAGAAGACTCTGGCAGGAAGCACAGCATCCCCTATTCCCAAATACTGTCTGAAAAAATGCAATGAGGATCCAAGAGAGCAGTGATGCCCATGGATAGTAAAGGTTTTAAAATACCAGCATCAAGGAATGAGAGGGGATCCCTGGCTGCTGACGTCAGATAGACAAGTGGATCTTGAACTTGAGAGCTGGGCAAAAAAAAAAGGTGATGGAGTGAAGTGTACCTGAGGAATAAGTCCTCTCCATGCCAGCCACTGGCAGGGGCACTCAGTAAGATGCAATTGAGGTCTCTGCAGCAAAGCCCCAGAATCACTCTCTGGAAATCTACAGGTCTTCGGTTCTTCCTGGAAAGAAACACAATTGTATTTCTTGTCAGCCCACTGTGAGCGAATTCTCCTCTTTTATAACTCACATTGTTTACAGATTCTAAGCCTGCTGCTTATATTCACTTCTTCTTCTCTCTCCAGGAAACACTGAGCGTGACAAAGTCATTAGTAAGTACCACAGATATTAAATCAGTGCCTCGGTTTGTTGTCCCCAGTGCAGTTACACTTGAAATAATTGATCTGTTTTGCCTCCAGGTGATTCCAGGTGGCACCCAGCTTGGGACAGACCTGCCTGCGATGAGTACTGCATCTCTGTGGTTGTTTTAAGGCTGTTACTTCTTATTCTGAGTATTGTAGCCACTTGGATCCTACCCAAATACTGGTCCATAGCACCTGCCACCAAGTAACGCATAGAAGGCTGTGGCAGCACTGAGGTTGATTCGTCCTCTCCCTGTGCTTAAGCTACTGGCAGCGCTGAGATGGATGGAGATGTTGTTTGCATCCATAAATCATTCTAAATATAGAAATACCATCCCCATTTCATGGAGGAGCTGGCAGAGCTGATAAGGAGCCTTCTCATTGTTCAGAATCAGTAGCTGGTTTTAAATTACCTGCTTACTTTTCCAAAGTGGAGCACTGTGGCAGAGATGGGTGTGCCATGGAACAGCTTGCCACACTTCCCAGGGAGGGAGTGGGGTGTCTGCAGCCCAGCAGAGCAGACTCCTCTATGCCTATTGAGCTCTCCTCCAGCGAGACGCAGCAGCATGGTTTTGGGTAGCCTGGAGAGATTTTTTTTTTATCATTTATAGCTTTTTTTTACCTCATAATTTTTGGGTACAGGTGAGTTCCAGCACGTGAATCCCACAGCAGGCAGTGCATTTCCCTGTATCGCAGTGCACAGGGACCACTGGCATTTCTCTTTGCTTAGAATCTGTTTTCAAACACACATCATCTCTGCCAAGACACAGAGCTTCACCCATGTTTAAATGTGACTCTGCACCACCTTAAACTCCTTTTTTTTTTTTTTCTTTTTCTGAGCATGAGGTTTCTGATTTATGCTTCAAACAATAAACCACTATTTCCTGCCTCTCATGCACGGTGATCATGTATCTGCAACCTGATCTGAAGGTCCACTGGTGCACAAACCCAGAACAAATACATTCAGTTCCAGCCTGCACAATGCCAAGAAACACGATGCTGGGAAACACAGTGCAGTGCTCTAAAAATTGTGCTGTGCCCAAAGTCGCGCTCTGGGCTCAGTGGCTGCCAAGCTCCAGTCTCCATGAGACTGTGCTCAGAGCAGGCAGGGTTCAGCCAGGCCCCTTCGATATAACACACCACTCTGCTGGGTGCTTCTACGCAGGAATCCAGGGAGTCCCCCAGCTGCTTCCCGTCTGTGGTGCTGTCTTTGCTCACTTCTGTCAGTGTTGCTGCACAGGTCCTGCTCTGATGCCACTCCTGGAGTCAGTCTCACCTGGAATTACTGCAACTGCAACCCAGAGCTTCTGACATTATTCTTCCATGCAGTTAGCTGCTAGTACTTGAATCATCTCAGCATCACAGCATGTCCTCAATAAATCATTTCCCAAAATGTAGATGTGGTCAGGGACAGAATTCCTAATTCTCTTCCTTGTCCTTCACTTATGTTTACAATTTGTTTGTGCCAGAGCCTCTTTTCTGCCATCCAGTGACCCCAGTGTCACAGCACCTGTTCTGGCCAAAATGGAAAGAGACAATTTTGTTAAAAAAAAAATGAAAAATAAAAAATCCTCACTACAAATTCAAGGCCACGGGTCTATCTGTTGAAAAGGGCAGCCACTTTCATTCCCACTTACCTTTTTGCCACACTTTTTTGAGCACCACTCAAGCCTCACACTTTCTGTACTGCAAAGTCCCATCTGGAAATCCCACAAGGACGATAACCAGCACATGTTGGCAGCAGGACGTACTCTGCAGTGTCCTTTTGCAGAGAAGGGCTGTTATGCCAGCATCTGCCCCATGTGCAGAAAGGTCCTACTGATGCAAGAAGAAATGGAGGAAAGGAAAGTGCATACAATGCTGTGTCCAGGGAGCAAAATGAGCTCAGCAGGAATGCTCCCCCTGCTAAGTTTAATCTATACTTGGTTTCCAGGAGAGTAAACAGAACCAACACAGAGCCCTTAAAGTTCAAAACATTCACAGTGCTGACACTGAACCACATACCTTAGCAGCTTGAAGGGAATTCCATAGAGAAAGCTTCATTAAAAAAAAAAAAAAAAACAACTGTAAATCACTGGGGCTCATGGGGAAAAAAACAACCAACCCACAACAAATTCTACAGCATGGTAACGTTCAAACAAAAAAATCCAGAAAGTCAAGGAGTCCAAGCCAAACAACTGCATCTCATTTTTTAAGGACACCCAAAATCCAGATATTTAACTCCTGATGATTAAACCCCCTCAAGTTGTTCACATTCTTTTTATGGCATCCATCTGCGACTTCCACATGATCAATGCAAAATACGGATACAGAAACAGCCATTGAGTACTTTGCTAGTCTCTAAACTCTAAAATCAGTTTAAGGAGATAATTTGCAAAAGTTCAAGCTAGTTCTGAAATTACCAAAACAACTACTTTGCCCTTCTAAACTTACTTTTCTGTTTTTTTTTTTTTTTTTTTTTTTTTTTTTTTTAAGACACATCAGAATGGGTGTCAAAAGCACTGTAGTGAGCCCAGCACAGGTGGTTACCACTAAAAAGCTGATTCTAAGCACACAAATCCTTGGTTTGCCTTCCTTACGTGAATGAAGGGCCTTTCTAGATTTTCCTGTTTAACTAAATAGAAGTCTAACCAACAATCCCTGAAACTCAGCAGCCATAACAACCAAAAAAGGTTAAACATAACCCTTTCATCTCACAAAAACAGAACAAGACTCCATGAAATCAAGTAAGTTCTACTGCGGTTGGGGCTTTGATGCCCAACCTACACACATACCTCAGCTGGGGAACCAAAATTCAAAACATACATTTCCATGGAAGTACACAGATGCATTTTAAGGTCAGGCTGCCACCAAGCTAACGTACATTTTCCTGCTCTGTGACTCAGGCAACCACGCAGTTGGTTGGCCCAGCAGGAAAACAATCACTCAGTTAGCAGCAAGCCTTTTTAGCCAAACCAGGTTCCTGAAATAAAAGGCCAACTTACAAAGTCAAACGGCCCTTTGCATTGTGGAACAAGATACAAACTTAATTTTAGCAAACAGAAATTTGCTGCAGTAAAAGGGGCCTCATTCAGTCCAAAATATAACAGAGGACTCTCCCTCCTTGCACCTCCCCTAAATCCAGTTCAGCTCCTCTTTACTGGCTTTGGACTCTGCAGATTGCTCTGTTGAAGTTGTGATCCCACTCACTTGTGGGATCACATGAGAACCATGGCAGTGCCTCTGGAGGTAGCCCAGGCCAATATATCTGACCCACCTGATGCTGAGCTCAAGTCTCCCCTTTACACCATCAACAGCTACGTATCAGATAACATGTCTAAGAGCTTATCATAGGGCTGGTATCCTAACATACCAGCCTACTACAGCTTCTGAGATGGGTGTGTAATTTTCTTATTTTCTCAGTGAAGCATCTGTTGAGCAGTACTTTCTTACATGATTTTATAAGTACTTAAAATGACATTTATGGATGACAGAGTATTGAGTTTTCTCTTCCAGAACTAAGTTGCAAGAAAAGGTCAGGCAATGGAAAGGGGTACCAATATTGCCCCCCACCCTAAAGGGCAAGAATCCTAGATCATTTTCTCCGTGCACACACACACTGACTCTTCAACGTACATTCTAAATTCTTATTTAGACATGTAACAAAGAAAACAGCTGTGTTTTCACTGACCAGTCTCAAATAAAAGGCCACTAACCAAAGCAAAGTGAGCTGCAGTGTTCTAGCATAATCATCTTTACCACATGTGCAAGGGATCAGAATTCCAAAGTCTGGCAAAGCAAAGCTGTGGTGAAACTGGTGTGGCCTGACCACCTACTTACTGTTACATTTGCTTCTTGAACCTCAGATGCATCAACTAAGTAACATCTGCTTTTCCAGTGCACTCTGTTTCATCATAATTTCCATTTGTACTTCCTTCAAAAAAGGGGAAGGGGCTGAACAAAGTTAAAAGGAACCTAAGTTCTCATTTCTTGTAAGAAATGAATTAAGAACACATTTAAAGAAAGGTAACACTTATGTTTTCCCTGCAGCACACTTGCATTGTGTTACATTCTGCCTAACAAGATAATGCTAATAAATGACAATTTATTAATGGCGTTCAATTAAGACTATGGTTGTCTAATCCTCACACAAAGCTGTGAGCTTGCTTACAAGAATACAAGATGTAGGTTTTGCAATAGATGACTAGTTAAAGGATTTATCGTCAATATATTAAAATAGTTTATTAACACCAAGACAAGACACACAAAAAAACCCAGCTTGTACAGAAATAAAAGCTTAATAGAACTAATAAATCTTGCCTATCTTGACATTTATTTGGTAGCCTTTCATAGAAGTATTCCATTTAACTCCCACTGAGTTCTCCAATCCTTACCGTTTCACATTCTGTATCAAACTCCTGAATGCTTCTAATATAGAACTTCCTTTAGGCAGACAGATATTACCCAAATACACTCTCACTTTCTCAAAAAAACATGAGAGAGCAGATTTTGTACACCAACTTTGACAATTCTGCATAGCTGCCCTAGGTCCATTTGTTAAAATGGGCTTGTGAAAAGAGAACAATCTTCCTGCCTAGGATTTTCTCATCCACACTACACTGACAGCAAGAAGTGGTTTACTCCACGTCTCAGTTGTTCCAAGTGTGAAAACGTTCATTATTGTAGGAGAAGAGTAAGCATGAGTGGTGCATTACTTCTTTTTTTTCTTCTTTTCGTCTGCTGCCATTTTTAACTTGACTTCTTCCATAGGAAGTGCTCCTAATTTCTTCTTCTTTGCATTCTTTACTTTTTCCTTAATGGCTTCAATATCAATTTTTTTCTCAGTGGAGGCTACACAGTAAAAACACAAGCACAAACAGACACAAGTTTTACTTTTCTGATTTTTCACAGCCTGTAAGATTACTTCGTATGTATCCATGGTAAACTGCATGCTGTAGCATTGGTTAGGACTAATTTTATGTTTGCTAACAATTTTATAAACTATTCTTATCATTTTTACTGAAAATGATACACAATCCTCTTTCAACAGAATTCAAGGAATAGTTACATAAAAAAAACCCTATACAACTGTATTTGAAAACTGATGCCCTACTACACTGCACACTTAGAAACTGTCACCTGCTCATCAGACCACAGCTGTACTCCAAGATTAATACATACACAGTCTGCTGGACACGTGTCTATTGCCTTGGTTGGTCTTACATAAAAAGAATAAACTATTTATTGAGTACTTATTTTCAGAGCTTTCATGGCATTTTATATATATGCATGTAACTAGGGTGATGAGTTCACAGACATGCCTGTACCATCCTTATTTTCCTTCCCTGGCCATGCATTAATGATGGCTGCTGGAAAAAGTCTGATCCCTGCATAAAAACTTTTCTAAGAGACTTCTACAGGAAGTGACAGAGCATGAAGAGTATCCTATTTTATGTTCATAAAACATTTTAAGAACATGCTTTATAAGGACATGAGCGACAGAACAAGGGGAAGTGGTTTTAAACTGGAAGAAGGTAGATTTAGATTAGATATCAGGAAGAAATTCTTTACTGCGAGGGTGGTGAGACACTGAACAGGCTGCAGTGAGGCTGTGGGGTGCCCCTCCCTGGAAGCATTCAAGGCCAGGCTGGATGGGGCTGTGAGCAACCTGGTCTAGAGGGAGGTGGCCCTGCCTATAGGAGGGGGTTGGAATTAGGATATTAAGGTTCCTTCCAACCCAAACCATTCCATGATTCTGTGATTCATCTGGTATTTTCTCTTTTGGCCAAGAGACATGAGCTTAGGTCCAACTCTGCCACCTCACATGGTTAATTCCTACACACCATCAGGTGTCCTTTTTGGAGCTCAGTTCTTCTCTACATACAAAGTATTTCTGTTATTTAGTTCTGGAAGACTGAATGGTTTCATTCAAAACACTTACCAGCTGGAAGAGCACACTATTTGATATACAGAAGAGGCAGTAGCATGATTACAGAAAATTTACTGCTATCACAAAAAAGTATTTTATACAAATCAGTGCTCCAGAATATACACTGTTTAAGAAGTATATGAATTCTTCAGCTCACAAGAAACTGCAATATACAGTGTATTAGTATGTAAGTAGCATGACCTTTCTTATTTCCTATGGCTACATCTCCACATCATCAGGCTAGGAATTTATACTACAAATGTTTAGAACGGGGAAAAAAAAATGTTACCTCTCTTTGCTTTCACAACTGGCTTTTCCTTCGGTGGGATAAAAGCTTTATTCCTTTCCTCTTGTCTCTTCTTGACTGCATCAGCTTGCTTTGCCTAAAATTAACAATAACAAGTATGAAGTACCAATAGAGCAGGGCAAAAGGGAGAAAAATCGAAGACAGAAATCAAGCCCTTTCTAATTGGTTGTAACAAATTTACCTTTATTTCTTCCACTCGCTTTCGTTTCTTCTGGCTTTCTTTCAAGAAATATTCACCACTTGCCAATTCTTTATCAATCTGTACAAGAAAAGTATCAGGAAGCTTTAGAAAATTATACATTATCAGCCAGATATATAGTATCAGCTTCAA